AGGGAAGGAACTGCAAAAGAGGTGTGTGCCAGGCAGATTTGGCACCCTGGTTCGTACCCCGTTCCCCCTGCTCCAGAAGTATCCATCTTCGATGTTCCCCCTGCTTAGACCCTTTTGGTCTCAGGTGGGAGCTGACAGATCAGGACATGCGGCGTGGGGATGATGGAGGGGGTGGATGTCTGTTTACTGACATGTGCCATAGTGCCCACACGTGTCCCTCCCGCACTGCCTGACACCTTGTAGCCAGATACCAAGGGAGACTCACGAAGCAGAAGCAGCATCAGGCTTCGTTGCTGGAAGAAGGTTTTGCTGAGCAGTTGTGGTGCTTGTACTTCTTCGCTGGAGTCACTGGGTTTCACTGTTCAGGTAGCAGCTGTTGTAAATTATTTCCTATTTCCCAGCCTTGTTGGGATTGGTGTTGCCTCCCTTGTTTCATATTGTGCTGTGCTAGGCTGACCTGGCGTGTGCTGTGGCTGGAGGGGTGCAACGGGGCTGGTGCCCAGCACACTGCATGCTCACTTCTCTGATTGGGGTTTTAAAACAGGTGGGACAGACCAGAAAGGCGGTTTTGGTAGGTTTTACCTGCTTTGAAGGTCCCGTTCCTCCTGTATCTCAGAGCAATGATGTGTGGATAGAGGGGCTTTAAATCAAAACTCCCGATTCCTCCCTGATTCCTTTGCCCCAACTTATTTGTGTGGCTCTGTGTTTTTGGTTTGGGCTTTCTCCTGGTAAGGAGGTGATAATCCCTGTAGCCTCCTGGGATAAGGGCTCCTCCATTCCAGCCTGCAGTCGTGGGGTGTGGGTGCCCAATTCCATGAGAGCTGGAGGAAAGGGGTGTGCTGGCAAGATCCCAGCAGAGGAGGAGAAGGAGAAGGATCTCCTCTTCCTCTGAGGAGGAGTGACATGCACAGGCTGCTCTGCTCTCTGCAGTGCAAATTGCATGGTGGCTTTTGCCTGCCTTCTCTCTCCTCTGCCTTCATCCCTTCTCTCTCCCTGTTGTGCATCCATCTGGATAGACGCTTGGCTCCCCTCCTGGGACTGCCCAGGGTATGTCGCAGGGGCTCACGTTACTGGACGTGATAGTTAATCCCTTCATTGCCTCACGAGCTAAACACTTGCTGCTGTTATCATGTTTGGGAGGGGGCCAGGGAACATGCATCCCCCCGCCAGCTCCTCCTCCTGCTGATTTTCGCATGCGTTGCGATGCAGCACGGTGGCTGCAGCTTTGCCAGCACTTTGGGGGACACGTGTACAGTCCTCCCTGCGTGGGTGGGGAATGTGCTACAGGACAGTGCAGCAATCTGGGACTAGGAACATGCAGCACGCAGATAAGGCTCCCATGGGCTGTCTGGGTAGCCTTGGGTGACGCTGAGCTGTGCTTTGTAACAGTCTGGAGGAAAGGGACAGAACCGAGGTGTTGGGTGCTGCTGATCTGTGGACGCTCTCGGCTGCGTGGGGGCCTGTCCCCAGAGCTCTCCTATGCAGTAGCTCTTCGTGTGACTCTGTCTCTTGGGTTTCAGGTGGCAGCAAGCTCCCAAACCCTCAAATGCAGCTGAGATGTGTTACCTGCCCTTCAAGCTGAGAATCCCTGGTTAAAGGGTGGTCCTCACAGCCACCACCAGGCCCTGCCAGCTTCTCCAGCTGTTCCCAGGCACCCCCGGCAGCATTGGCAGCCTCCAAAGGTTAGTTACCTTGCTTGTTAAGTAGATGTTTTACATGTGCTCACTCCCTTCCTGTCCTAGTGTTTCTGTACCCAAACTGGTAAACTGGGGATAATTGCATGGCAGAGGGTCTTGGCCCTGTGGGTTTCCTCTCTACTGGGCATGAGGGTATATGGGACCTGTGGAGAGGCAGCGCTGGCACTTGTAAGCCCCTGTGGCCCAGTTCTCTGGAGGGAAAGACCAGATTTCTCATATGAATCCTTGGAACAAAGCGTGGTCACGTCTCTATGGCTGTTTCAGTTGAACTTCCCTTGAATGTGCACGTCTGGATCCTTCTCCCCAAACACGACTACAGTCTACTGCTTCTTTCTAGTGTAGTGGGTGGCAGATGATGGAGACCCTGGCTGAGGAGCTGGAACAAGCTCCCTGGGACAGGGGAAATGGGAAGACCCCCTTCTGAAGGCTGGGAGCTTGTGCTGGCGTTGTTCTGCCCTAGCAGCTTCTTTTCCCTCTGTCCCTTACACCAAGTGTTTCTGTGGGGCCACTGTTCTCAGTGGCCACCTCTCTCTCCTTCTACCCCTCATTAGTGCAGGGCTTGGCATGCCAGCAGGAGGGAGCCTCAGCGTGTCTGCGCCTTGATGGGATTTGTCAAGGCTCCTTCCCTTTTCTTCCTGTTCATTGAGGGCTGAAACAAAGCAAACAGAAGAGAGGAATTCCAAAGAATAGGAGCTAGGGAAGAGAGGGACGCTGGAGTGACAGGCTGCCCCTGCACACACGCACCCCCCCGCCTCGGTCTGGTGGGGCAGAGCTGGAGGCAGAGCATTTCGGGAGGTGAGGCCCTTCGCCCCCAGCTATGCCCCCAGCTGCCTTGCTCCCCGTGCAGTGGGGCCGTGGCATGCTGCAGCCCAGAGAGCTCGAGTCCCCACTGCTTCAGGCAGTTTCCCAGGTGGGGCTGTCCCTGCTGCCCGCTGAAGTGCCAGCACTGAGGAAGGGAGGCTCGGGCTTGCTGCCTCCTCTCGGCACAGGCACATGGGCCTGAACGCAGCTTGGGGGAAACGGGGTGTTATATGAACTGCTTGATTTGTCCTGGGCTGTGGTAAAAGGTTCCCCCTCTTTACCTGTGCCGGGAAAGCTTCCCCTGCCAGGCAGCCCTGAAGGAGCCCAGTGCAGAGCCGAACGTCCCGCCTGGGTGCCGGGGCAGCGAGGCACCGGCCCCTCCCCAGCCTGGGAGCCAGATAAGCGCTTGAACAAGGCCCTTCTGTGCAGACAGGTCTGTGAAGTGGAGACAAGCATGGTCTGGCACTCACGTTGATTCCCAGGAGGCTGGGGACTCTGGAGGGGAGTCATGGCCGGCCAGGCAAGGCTTGCCGCAGGTAAAGCTTGATCCGGTCTGATGGAGCCCCTTGCTCCCTCCTCTGCCATCACACAGGTTGCCCTTCGTCCTGCCCTCAGCCCCGTTCTGGATTGGATCGGGGGAGGCAACAGGATGCTTGGCAGCCCTGGCATAAAGCACTTGAGGTGAAATACATCCCTAATAATGACACCCCCCCTTGCATTTAAGCCTCAAGGAGCAACCTTTAAGCCACAGCCTCTGCTTCCTTTCCTTCTTCCTCCTTGTTCTTCGCCTTCTGGCAATCTCTGCACTCTGTGGTTTAATTAGAGAGCAGAGTAAAGTGCTTAGACTCCAAAATGTGCAGATTAGGGGGTTACTAATCCTCTTCCTCAACGGGTGCTCACATCCTGCCCAGTCTGTTATCGAGCTTCTGTCCCCAGAGTGGAAACTCAGCCAAACTCGAGACCTCTACCTCTCCTCTTGCTTGCTACGCAGAGGAGGAAGGGCGAGGGGTGACAGGAGAGCCAGGGGGGAGGAGGGAAGCGTGCTGTGGGCTTCCCAAATAGTCAACGTGGGTTTGTAGTCAGCACTGGCTGTCTTTGCTTCTTACGCCCTGGCTGGGTTTGGTGCTCTACGAGCAATAAAGCAAGGGTTTAATATTTGGGTTTTTTTTTTTGTTTTCTGAGTGTACTGTCTTCCTGTTCTGACAAAAACCCCTTTCTGTCAGGGGAAGCAACTGCTTCCCTGTATGTGTGCCTGCATGTGTGTTTAGAGGCTGGGTGATTCAGCTGAGGTCTTGTGCCCTCCCTGTGCGCACCCGCCTCTCCCCGCGTTCCCGCCTGCCTCTCCCGCGCACTGATTCCCAGCGTACGCCCAAGCGAGCCGTGCTGCAGCACTGCTGAGAGCGCAGGGCTGCCCACCGGGAGCGCGAGGCTGGTGCCTGGCTGTGCTGCCCGAGGCCGGTCGTATCCTTGTCTCTGGAGGCTGAGATCCCCTTATAGGACATATGCTGTCAGTGTGAAGGGGAAGGCGGAGTATTCGCTGTTCCAGATGGAGGCACCAGCAGGGAAGAGGGCCTAGGGAGGACGAGTGTGGTGGGAAGGGTAAGACTTTTCCTGGAGGTAGGAGGGAAGCTTGACCCTGATGGTCACAGGATGGGCTGAGCTCTTACGCCTCTGTCCCAGTCCTGGCGCAGGCTGGGCACTGCACCGAGGTTGCTGTGGATTGCAGGATACGTGAGCTTTTGTCCCGAGCCACTCGGCTGCTGCTCGGTTGGGTGGAGGTATGCTGTTTCTTCCCTGCCTTTGTCCTTTGTGCGAGTTCAGGGTTTAGCTCAGCGGTGTGAGAAGGCCCAAGGATGGGAACACAAGGAGCAGTGGGAAGGGGAGGAGTGCTGGGAATGGTCAGTAGGGAGTTTGGGTGTTGAGAGCATTCTCCTTCCCACTGCCTGGCTTTGGGAACTGCCTCCCCTCTGGGACCTGCTTCCCCTCCTTTTTTTGCCCCCATCAGTTGCTGCCTCATTTCCAGTTTGCAAAATGCCCCGTATGCTTTTTTACAGATAAATTTGCAGCCTCTTAGCCTAGCCAGCAGCTCTTCCTCCACAGTGTTGTCAGAGCCTACTTGCAGTGCATAAGCCTCTCTGTAGCCTAGGCATCGCTTCAGGTCTTACAAAATGCCCAGGGCACCCTGAGTGGATGGCACTATCACTGCTTGGGTTTTTTAGAGCCTGCCCTGAGCCATCCTGGTTTGCTATTTATAGTGCAGTTGTTCCATTCCTCTGTGGATGAGCTCTGCTTTCAGCCTTCCTTGGGCACTGAGGGCACCAGTGCCAGGAATAGCTCTGGGCAAAGAAGACTTGGGAGTGGCTGCTTGAGCGCAGCTCCCAGTTTGGGCCAGTCCCTGGTGGAAGAGGCACCAGGCTGCGTCCGTGAGCTCTGGCTCTTGGTGAGCGTCAGCCTCCTGCGGCACAGCTGCTTTTCATGCAGGGGAAGTGAAGGGATTCCCTCTCTTTGTCAGGTGCCCCGTGTGCGCGCCTGGCTCCCCTGTGCTGCCGAGGCTGCTGGAGTAGAGTTCAGCACTGTGAGAGATGGCATCTGGAAGAGTTGCTCCAGTGCCAGGTACCAGCGGGACTAAGTGAGGGCCCTTGGCGTGATGCGCTTGCACTGTGGAGGGCTGTTTGCATGGGAAGCCCTGCTCTTGGCACGTCCTTCAAGCAGTGGCCGTGACCTCTTGGTTGTGTTACCCTGAACCGCCACCCCTAGGGCAGGTGGATGCCTTTTCGGTGGGGGCACCTGCCATCCCTCACACAGGGCCCTGCTCTCCTTCTCCAGGAGAGAGCTTGCTGGCCTTGAGGGAGCTTGAGCTGAGGTCTGGAAGGAGTCTGCAGCGCAGAAAACACCAGCACCCTCCTCAGCACTGCTGCTTGGGCAGAGCTGCTCTGGCCCTTTGGCTTGTGATGCTCGCAGCTTGTCTGGAGAGCAGAGCTGAACAAATAATTAATTGCTTGATTTAGTGCCCAAACCAAAAAGCTAGAGGAAAAAAAAAAACTACAACACAGCCAAGTTTGAGAGACCCTTTATCTTTTCTTTTAAATGTAACGCAGCTCAGTTTCAAACAAAACAATGCAAAATGAGTTGGGTTTGGGTTTTTTTTTTCTTGGAAAACAAAGCATTTTGTTCATGCTCAAAACTTGTCGTGAAGTAGCAAATAGCTCTGAGCTGTCTGGAAACTGCAGTTTTCAATCAATAACTATTCAGCTGAAAACACTTACCCAGCTCTGCCAGTGGCAGTGCACAGCAGGCACCTGGGGGCCTGGCTCAGAGCCATGCCTGGCACCTTCCCAGAGGTGGCGGGGAGGATGGTGTCGTGCCTCTTGTGGACTTTTCCAGGCAGAGCACTGGTCTGGGGTTGTTGGAGTCCCTTTGCCTTTTTTTTTTTTTTTTTTTTTTTTTTTTTTTTTTGCTGTAATTAACCTAATTAATTTTGTATGAGATGGTGCAGACTCCACAAGCTTGTTAGGTCTGGTCAGATGCACCTTGTCCCACCGTGGAGCAGCTCCTGGTGCAGGTTGTTCAAGAGCGTATCAAGGGAGATTTCAGGGGGGCGGGGGGGAATCTCCTGTCAGTCCCTACCTGTGTGCCCTGCTATCTGGAAGATTAAGATATTGGTAGTTCACAGGGTAAAATTCCCACCCCTTTGCTGTATGGGGCATGACGCCTGCTGGGTGCTCCAGCTGCGCTGATGGCAGAGCTGGACCTGGCAGAGGGCTTGCCGCAGACTGGCTTGGATAGAAGTGGGAGCTCTTGGCTGCTGACCCTGCTCAGCTCTGACCCCAGGGACCGCCATCGGCTGCTAGCCCACAGGGGTGAACAGGTATTGATGCCCGGAGCACATCCGGAGACCAGGACACAGTGAACCTAATGGATTCAGAGCTGCCATTAGCTGCAGCACAGATGTCAGCAAAAATGCAGATATTAGAAACCTAATCCTGACAGAGGGAAGGGAGATGGAGAGCAGCCCAAATGCTGCTCCTCCTCTGCTTCAAAGAGGCAGGCAGGGTCCTCCTGCCCCTTGTAATGCTCCTGCAGAGTGCCCAGGCTTGGTCCCTCCTGTGCCCAGCTGTGCTGGCCAGGGGACATGTGGAAGAAATTTGATCCAGGACTCCATAGCCTCTGTATTCGTGTCAGAG